TGTGTGTGTGTGTGTGTGTGTGTGTGTGTGTGTGTGTGTGTGTGTGTAAGGTAGATTGAAGCCCATGTCATTGCGAACATAAAGCCTTTGCTCTTCCTGTGCTGTGTCCAGGGTGAGAGAGGCAGCGATGAGCAGCCTGATGGAGGTGACTTTGCTGGTGGCCGGCAGCGCTCCGGAGATCCTTCAGCCAGATCTGTGAGTATCAACCGGAAACACTCCACGCTGTGTTAAATGTCACCAGCAGTTGACATAAACGTTGTAATGTCAGTCAGTTTATGACTTCACTGTTGTGTCAATGTCTCAAGGTGCGGCCACAATACCTCAGCCAACCCAATGTAGGATAAATGAACAGGATCAAAAATCTAATTACGCAACATTTACTTTTACTCTGTTTGATTATGGATAACTTCACACGCACTGTTGCCTTCGGGTTTATTTATTGTGTCATATTGATTCATTCATTCACCAGAACCAGAAACGTTGGTAAACGTTGGAACACAATAGCCGAATTGTTGATACCTTTCTTGTGAAGTTTAGTGAAGTGACGCCCTACAAGGATGTCTGATGAAGTCGGGTAAACGATGGCACTTCCTTACTTTATTTCCCACTATTCTGTCTGCAGGGTGAAGTGTATGATGTGCTGCTTGGCCCAGCAGGCAGGAGAGAAGATTGACCGCTACAGAGCCCACGCTGGCAACGCCTTCCTGCGCCTCCTCCACAGCACGGAGCCTGCAGTGCCGCACATCCCCCAGCGAGAGGAGCTGATGAGCATTTTCCCCGTGTGAGTCAACCTGCAGCACAACAAGTTGGCTGGACTGTTAAAATAAGAAAAGTTTGATGTGGAACCATTGTATTTGCGAAGACTTTTAAAACTGATATTTGATGATCTTTCCCCTCCACTTGTCTTTCAGTGAGACCACAACCAGTCTGAACTGGAATGCTCCATCCCAGGCTTTCAAGTACATCACCCAGCTGCTTGGACTCCCCCAGTATCAGTACCACACCCTGCTGGGCCTCACTGTGTCCGTGGGAGGGATCACCGAGTCCACAGTAGGTCATCTGTGACGAGAGGAGTAGAAAATTTGTCCAATCAAGAGCATTGTGACGTATAGATGGGTGATAACTTTGAAAAATAAAACGGAAAACGAATGCCGACGAGATGGTCACTGGATGTTATCGTATGCTTTGGCTTTTGCAGTCACAACAGTCATTGTTGTACTTTTGCTCATCAACAAGCTGTTGCGTAGCGCATTTCATTCTCACAGTAACACCTGACTGCTCGTTCTGTGGTGCATCAAGTTGGCTCAGTCAGCTCTTTTTAGGCCAACAGAGGGAGCCATGTGTCTGAAGAAGTCACTGTAATCCCAAACTCTAGAACGCCTGACTTTCAATTCATCATTGTAATCACAGATCTCGGGCTGTGTTACTTTCACTCGTCTCACCGTGTCCCTGCTCGCGATACTGTGGCAACCACCTGAGCACAACAAATTGATCCGACGGGTCCCTCGTGGTACTGGCAAGCGAGAATTTCCCATCATTTGAATCTCATAACGGCTTAAAAGCATGTCTGACACTTCCCACTCATGACCCCTTACACAGAATCACTCAGGAGGCTCAGCAGGAGGCTCAGCAGGGGCCCCAACAGGGGCCGATCAGGTTCTCACTCCTGTTACAGTTTGACCTAACCCGTTACAGCCAATGAAGGCTGTGAACATCTTCCCCCCTCGGAGACGATCTGGCTCTCGTCTTGATTTTACCTCCTATATCTTTGCCACAGATGCGTTCTCAAGGACCGATATGTTTGTACTGGATTGCATGCCAGGAAACTGAGCCAATGCTGCATTAATGCACGAGCCAAGATTACCATTCTCACACCACAGGCACACATTCACACAGGCCAGAGAGAGGCGGAGCGTCCGAGAACTGCCTCAATGTAGAGATCGTAAGGCCGCGCTAAAGCCAAACAACAGAAACATTTAGAGACGGTCCCAAGACGGAGAAACCTTATTCTGTTCCAAGTATTTGTCTGTATTTTAT